TAGGAATGATGAACAGCTAGTTAAGCAAACCTGCATACCATACAAAATTGGTGAGAATTGTAAATACTAATGAGGGGGAGAATATAAGGAACTGTAGAGCTAAAGTGATGATTACAAACATAGAGAGAAAATAACAAGTAGAATTCAATTTGAAATAATGTATGTATTTGAGAAAAAAATAATCTGGAACAAAAGAAAACTTCAATAGAGGGGAAAAAATTGGGGAAAGAAGATGGACCCACAGGTGATATAATACTAAATGAGATGTGAGTTTATAAATATAGTGGCAAAATATCAACATGCTGTATATTCCATGAACTTCACATAGAAAGAGAATTCTGCCTTTCTGTTCTTTATATGCCCTACATTTAGTTCTATCCACAGTTTAGCCTTAAGGATCTTGACAAACTTGAGGCAGTTCAGGGAAGAGCCACAAAAATAATTATCCACCCTGGAGGAAAGATCAAAAAGAGAATTACAAAGAATTACAAAGTTGGAAAGGGGACATAGTAATCTACAAATATTTGAAAGGAGTAAGCAGTAGTGATGGGTCAGAATTAGTACAGATGCTGCATGGGGAATTAGTTCAGGAGGAATGGCTGGAAGAAGGCAAATGTAAAGAGAATATTTAGGGATTAAGGTGTGCTAGGCTTCAGAATTGCACCTCAGGGAACACTGAGAAATCCCGCTTTGGCAAAGGACTGGCTGTATGCACATCACTTTTATATTCCTGCAAAACAACTCTGATATCACATATTTGAATCTTTTAATCTCGTATTTTAGTCCAAAAATGCTTTTCTCTATCTCTGCTTCAAATATATTTATTGATTTACTTATTAGATTTATATGCATGCTGACCTTCCCAACAATGGCCCTGAGGCAGCTTATAGTAAGAGACAAGACAACTTATAAAAGCAGAGAAAATATTAAAATATGATAAATAACAAAACTCCTTAAATAGTACCCCAAGTCTTGCTATCTATATGCCTGCCCCAATAAGAATGTCTTACAGTGTTTCTGGAAGATGTCAGGAAAGCCACAAGGCAGACAGAGTGCCAAGTTTGAGGAGTGACTACTAAGAACCACCTCCCGTGTGTTTTCACCAAATAAACTTGGCATAATGATGGTACTTGCAGGATATTGCTTTCAGTTGAATTTAGGGATCAAAGTAGAGCATAATGGAGAAGGTGGTCCCTTAGGTACTTATGACCCAGATCATTTAGAACTGAAGGTGGAAAATTTAGCTCTAATGAAGAGAAAACCAAGATTGTTTCTAAGCAGATGGAATTTGCATAAATGTCTTTGTAACAGTGGCATAATGTACATATGATAATAGGATACATTTGGAAGTGGTATTTCCCATGCCCATATAACAGATAATTTCTAAATAAATTATGCTTTCCAGCTGCAATAACACCCTCTAACTAAACACTTATATATGAAAAATATAATTCTAGGGCACAACAATATACCCAAATAGTTCAATGAAGATCAATTGTAAATGTCTATACCAAATGAATGATATAAACAATATGTTATGATTCCCTTTGTGAATGAAGAGTGCTCCCAGATCCTTGTGGGAGACTTTTCATGCAATAAACAGAAGCGCATACCAAGATTACTGATTTGGTTTCATTGTTTGTTTTTAGGGGTAGTGAATGCCACAAGTTTCATATGTATGAGATGAACAACATACTTTATTTTACTTCATAAAATCCAAAATGTTCTTATTAGCAACTATAACTGGATTAGTGGCATTTCATACACCTGTATTGGGAAGTGGAAATGTCAGTTTTGTCTGGTTTCAGCTGTTTGTCTTAGACACTTGTTTCAAACAACTCTATTTTCAGTAGATGGAAGAGATCCCATGGGTCATCGAATTCAATCCCTACAATAGGAGGCGAGCATGTAATGGTTGAGAAGGTCCACCAGAACATCCACTCTAGCCCTTCTTGTACACCACAAGCCACAAAGCACCTCTAATACTCTGTAACAGGGGTTGGCAACCTACAGCCTATGGAACAGATCTGGCCCATGGAGCCATTTGATTTGGCGCGTGAATGTGGGGCTTTGTTGGCATTTGATGGTGGACGGCTTCAGCAGGTGCCACTTTTCTGTGCTGCTGCAGGGAAAAGTGCCAGCTGCTGGCACTCTTTTCATGCTGGTTTGGGAGAAATTAGCAGTGGCGGTTGGATCCTAGCACCCACCTACCCAACCAGCTCTGACCCATACTGGTTTACTCTTGCCCACAGCATAAAAAGGTTGCTGACTGCTGCCCTATAGAACAATTTATTACAAAAAACAAAGGCCTTCAAAAACTACAATATACCATAGGGGAAGAACAGAAAAAACAAGGATGCCACTGTGAGGCTGAAAGCCTCTTCAATGACAGTTAATTTGTTAGGTAAAATGTATCCTGACAGTCTTAGGAAGTGGACTGATGGAAATGTGCAAATGAGATGCCTGAAAAAGGCACAGTGACCTGAATCAACTGTAGAAACTGTGCATGGCAATTAATAAATTGCCAAATCCTAGGTCATCAGATTTTTTTAGATCAAGTTTACCAAGTCTATTCATTTTCAGAGCTGTGCAGAGGATCCTTGCATGAGATATAGTTTTATGGTTTTAAGATATTTTGTTGCAAGCATAAGGGAGATTTTTTTTTCATGAGCTTGTTTCATATATCTACTGCTAACTGGATGCTATCCCTCACTGCTTCAAGACTCCCTCCCAAAAGACCAGACTTCCTGTTCCCCAGGACTCCTCAGCTACCGCTTAGATGCTACCACCTGCTTCCTATCCCTATTCTGCACTCCCCTCTACCACTGAACCTGTTCTTACAGTTTAATTCTCAGCCTGGTGAGAGGAGGGGGAAATTGATTGATCATGTGGGAATGGAAGGCAATTAACAGTGTCTCCTAATATGCTTGAATTGGCCCTAAACTTTAGTGCAAAAAAGTCTGGTTTAAAAAGCAGGTGTGTGTGCATGCATACACATGATGTAGCAGTCCCCTCTGATGCTGTTTTATTGTTGCTGTAGGAGAACACCACAGTGGTGGATAGTTACTAATATTTTATTTTATGAATAAGAGCCCTTGCAAACTCCAACAGTGAACACGGATTGGTTTCTTTTATAGGCAAAGGGGGTATTATTCCCATGCCAACAGATCTGATTTTCTTGCACATCTGTTTCTGCAACACAAACCCCACCCACCCTGTGAACATTTAGCCCATAAATTATGGGGTTTGAATTGGGTGTATATTGCAAAGTCTGACTTTTGCATATAAGTTTTGTGAGAACACTGTGGAATGCCTATATAACTTTTTTATTTTTGTTTTAATGAATAGAGAATATGATCTCTAAATACATTATTAATACAGAATTTTTTTGTCCTGTTTTTATAGAATTTGCCAGGCCCTACTCATTGGGTCTAATGTTATGTACACAGTTTTTAGCTATGGCTCGTGTGCACTTGGAGCAGAGCTAAGCTTCTAACACTTAATCTCAGCTTTGTAGGATATGTAATATACTTTAGATTTTATCTAAAAAAACTCTCTGTTTTTTTAAAGATCTTGCTAACTACTCAAACCTGCTGATGACTAAATTAAAAAAAAAACACCCTTTTTCTGTGTGCTGCTGGTAGTTCTCCCAGACTCACTCATGCTTTCATCTTCTGATTTTATTTTTGAATCAAGATACTTGCCATCTTTATTTGAGGCTGCTGTCTCATTTGAGGAAAAGGATCATATTTTGAAAAGACTGAGTACAAGGTCATAAAAAGTAGCATTTTCAAGAGTCTTAGTTCTGAAATGACACTGCCACAATTGGCCCTGTTGGTTATTGAAACCCTTCAGTTATCCTCTGAATAAGCACCTCAACCCAACCCATGTCATAGTTGCCAAAATCCTGCTCCTCTCTCTTGGAAATGATCCCCTATTTGATCCTTATTCATTTAAAGCTCTTGAAACTATCCCAGACAAGTTCCCAGACAAATACCCTTACCCAATTTCTGTCCCCATTGTTGGCAGCCTCTTGCTAAACACTGAATCAGTACTGGTCCAGAATTTCCTTCCAGCCAGTCCTCCTAATGCTTCTAGTTTGCAGGTGTCATACAGCTGAAAATTAGGAAGCATCCTATGGGATTACTATACTACAAGGAACACGTATGTAAATTCAGAGTTGTTCACCTGGTTACTACTGTTTGACACCAGTTCTTGAATAATATTGCATCAGTCAACAATTATTTTTCATTCCGACTAATCTGCACATTATTTTTGTTTTGCTCAGGGAGCTTTTCAAAGTCTTTTTTTTTTTTAACCTGTGAACCAAACTGACAACTCTCACGTGTTTATTCCACTGGTGTGTTTTATACAATGAATTAGAAACATTTCTTCCTTATAATATATGACAGCATTCTAACAGCCAGTACATATATGAAAATATTAAATAAATTATTGTTATAGTATGTACGCTAAGGTTGAAGGAAAAAGAACATCCAGGACTAACAAATCTGATTGTTCTGGCTACCTAACTCCAGTCCATGTTGGCATTTTTGACTTTTTCCTCCGTAAGTCAGTGCTGTGTGAGTGTTTTGTACAATTGCTTTCATTTTTCTATTCCTGTTTGTTGCAAATGCCTGCACTGGTCTGCAATAGCAGAGCCTCCAGATAGTAACTCTGTTCTGATGCCCTTTTAACTACCAGAGATATAGCCAATAGTCTGTCTGATAATATGAGTTCATTGAATTGTGTGTTACTCCTTTAGTTTATTACCTTCTGGGGAAGGGTGTGACAGCCCTTGGAATGAGGGAGCTTTCCAACTTGGCATTCTTAGATCCAGAAATATACTTCATTGCAGCAGTTTGAGAACACAATTACAACTGCTTACAGCGCAGTGATTTTAACTTATACTCTCTCCGCATTGAGCCCAAGTGATTACTGTGCTCATACCACCGTGCTACCTAAAATTCCCATAAATTATTATGTGTTGTTTTTTTTAGGCAAGTACTGGAAGTCAGTGGAGCCGTATGTTGTGCCTGTGGACTGTGCTTTGGCTGAAACTCAGAAACAAGAGAGAGAGGAGACAGAAACTGTTTCTGCTCTGGCCTCACTCTCAGTGGATGTTGAACAGTGTTTTCCTCAGGAAGAGAGCAGGTTTGTATACAGCATTGGCAACACAGGTGATGAGACTTTCTACTGTTTTGTTTTATTCAGAAGACTACTTGGCCCAGATTTCTAAGAGCATTTGATAAATTGTGATGATTAGCTTTTTTGAGTGTTTGAGACTTAGAAAAGCATCCTGAACTGAGATTAAAAAAGCAGAGGTATTCTATATTAGTGGATGTCTTTGGAAAGGATGTATGCATTACTGTTTGTTAAAATTCAATAATACTGTATTCATCCTTCTTTCTCTACCCCCAAAAGACCCCTCCCAAAATATTAAAATAAAAAGAACAATATTGAGGTGAAAAAACAAAAGAAAAAAATCTTGATTAAGTATACATGATTGCCATCTCCTTCTGAGAGCACTTGTTTTAGATTTAAATGTACCCCAATTTTTAAAAATTATTTCTATATAGATTTAGTCATGATAGTCTGAAACCACCATGGTGCTACTCCAGTTTTATACTACTAATTGATTTCAGGGTAAAACTGAAGTAACACAGTTGATTAATCATGCCCAATATGTGCCACAATAAAGATATATCATCACATAAGGAAAATATAGATTTTCCCTATCAGCTGATGTTTCATATTTATTTCACAGGACACATTTGAACATTAATTAAATAATTAAACAATTACTGGAGCCAAAGTCACTTCGTAAAGAATTACACTGCGGAGTTATCTATTGTCCCATTATGGGCAATATTCTTAAATTTCTTCTGTAGAGGAAGGTCCAAAATGCAGTGCTTCCATTCTGACTTCACTGTAGTTGGGGAAAGGCATCAGTTCCCAGAGTCTGGGGAGCTGAGCTCTATGACATCTTTCTCTACAGCAGCACAGAGGGTAGGAAAAGATGTGGGAGGGAAAAGGAGTAATGGGAATGTAGCCAATGGATCCATGAATTATGTGAAAGCACTGGCAGTTGCTGCATTTTGGGTTGAATGGTAAGGTTCTATCATGCATTGACATTTAAGAAAAATGAGGTGAAAGTTTTACAGGTGATCTACATGGGGGGGTACTACAAAACCTATCAGGAAACATATAGGCCACATTGACACATGCAGGCACATGCAGTTTATGGCTCACAAACTGCACATGTTAAACGTTAAAATATTTGGTGCACTGCTAATTTGGAGCATGGGGGCAAAATTTGCTACTGGGATTTCCTGGTAGCAAAAAAAAAAAAGTGGCACAAAAAAAGCAGTGCCAAGCATACCAAAATAGCATAGACTGGCACAAACAGAGGCCTGGTTCTCCAGGGTGACACTCTGGGTGCTGGCCAGGCCTCCCTACTGCCCTATTGTGCCCTTGCTGCTCCAGCACACTGCATGGCATGCAGGGAGCAACCAGAAGCATGGCAGGGCTAGCAGCTGCCTGCTGCTGAGCCTGAAACACATCTAGGGCCTGTCCTGGCCCCACAGAGGCACCCAGGGCCAGCCGGGCTGCTGGGCGGGGGCACAGCACAGCACTACCCCCCCTGCTCCTCCCTGGGCTGCTCCCCGGGCCACCCTCCTCCCCACCACAAGAGCCCCAGGCTTACCTTTCTCCCAGCAGCAGGAACAGCACCTCTTCCGGGGAATCAGAGCAAACTCTTTACAGGTAGGCAGGGGGAGGGAGGGGATGTGTGGAAGAGGGAGGCGGGGCAGCACTCTGGTTGACTGGCGTGCTCAGTGATGCTCCAGGCTTCAGAGCACTGTCAGGGTGAGCAGGGCTGGGTAGAGTAGCAGAGCTCTGTCCCCAGCCATACGATCGGGCCAGCAGGGATCCGCTGCACGCCTGGCCCCGTCCTGAGTGATGCCGAGTCGGGGTGCATCAATGGGCCTCTCAGCACTCTTGGGGGCCAATCGCGGGGGGGGGATGTGCCCTCTCATGCCCTCTGTAACAGTTGCTTGTGCCCAGGACCTCTGTGTGAGGGCTACCCAGGCTATAGCTGTAGGTACCACTGAACAGCAGGAGGCACTGGAGTCAGTTGTGGGCAGCATGAGTGATCATGGTGAGGCAGGTGGGGGGACTCAGTCACAGGAGTCTGCCTAGACCAGGCACTAGGGACACAGCTGGTGGCCAGAAGAGGTTACTGATCTAGCCATTTGGGGCCAGAAGGCTATACTG